TTTTTTTTGCGTAAATATATGCGGCATATATATTATATATGCGACATATATATTTCTCCATGCGGGATATATGCTAGCATCAATGTCACGATATAATATTTTCATTGCTGTTCATACCCAGCAATTTCCCCTACTCTGTATACGAGCGTAGTGACTTATACCCACAGTATCGCCGTAAATTCTCTATATTTGTTCCGAAGTTTCTAAAGACCGGACTCCCGAACAAATTGATATTTCAAGACCGGACCTTTTTTATTAGTTTAAGAATGCGATGAACTAGGTCCGTATTTCATATCAGCAGCCTAGGTTACGTATTTTATTTTTTTAATTGAATTTTCATTAAAATTTACTACGGTACAACCGTACTAAGACAAACTAGATTTTTTTAGACTGCGTGCGCATATGACAAGAAAAAAGGGCGCCGATATTTAAAAAAAAAAATAAAAAATTACTCTGTAAGAAATTACTAATTATAATTTTTTTTTTTTTTTCAAATCAATTACACAATTAAGTTATTTTTTAAAAAATGAATGAGCGTTATGAGGCGTGCACTTTTGGATTTTCCAAACTTTTGACTATTTTTTTCGAATTTAAAACTGCCTTCGCTATATCTCGTGGCCGTCCGGGATCGTTTCGGACAAATGTCGTACCATCTGCGATGTTGTAAAATGATTGATAAGTTAGATTTTGTTGACTTGTTGGATTTTATTATTATTGACTAATGGTAAGAAATGTTTCCTTAAAAAAAAATGATAATGCGTGAAAAAACAAAATTTTTAAATTTCTTGAAAATAAAAAAATGACGATAATTGTAATTGGTTAAATTAAAAAAAAAAAAAAAAAAAAACCCACAACAGAATATTTATATTCTTTAAGGAGATAATTTTAATAATTTAACAATTAAACAATTGTTTAGAACTACGTTGTTATCGCTAGTTTGCAAATATAATTACAACAATTATGATAACAAAACGTCAAGTATGTAAATATGAAAAACTTGAATTTAAAACTATTAGCAAATTTATTTTACACATACATTTTTTATTTAATTTAATTATAAATTACACGCAAGATAATAGTTGATTTATATACACATTGAATATTCATAATAAGTATACACAATAATTACATAACAATTGGACAATTAATTACAATAAAAATATTTGATTCTAAGTTTAGATACAACGTGCAATTATTTATTTGAATAAAAAAAAAAAAATTAATTATTTATATAACAAGATATTTGATTATTACGTATTGAACCATATATCAGATTTAATATATAACTCTAAAAATGTTACAATATTATGAGTATTATGTCTTTTTATAAATGTGAATTTTACTTTGTCATCTAATATTATTGACTCCTACTATTATTTCCAATAACGCAAGTTATAAATAATATATATCGATTGTTTTTTTTTTTTTTTACAACGTTAATACTTTCTTCACCTTAAGGCACTACAACCCGATAACTAATTAATCTAATTACTGAGTCATTTTACAGATTACTATAAATAGTTAAAATTTATCTCTAAAATTTCATTTAGAAAAATAAAATAACTTGTTAAAAAATTCATTAGTCTCATCACTTAGCTGAATATTTAATTCAACCTTTAAAATTTGATTGATTGGTTATATAATTACAATGAAAATAATAAATCTGCTCAAGGACTCATTTCACTGAGGTCATTGTAAGGATGTCCAATTTTTTGGAGAAGCCAGAATGCTCCCTCTAAGAATATCGTCCCACTTAAATCACCTAAAGCTGTTAGATACGGAATTGCCGAATTATCCGGGTCTATTTTGAACCTCCACATTGCGTGAATTATGATATGCGCAACATAAAGCAGTAACATGATCTAAAAATAAACAAACATTAATTAATATCTTTATTAATAAAATAAAAATTTATCCATCCAATTGATGGCTTTTATTGCTATACTTACTTGAACTAATGCTACTACAATGTATGAAAATACAAAGTAGGAATGTAGAGTAGATTCACCCTGTTTTATATAATCAGCCGCATATATAAATACCAATTCACCGGCAATGCCCATTGTTATTAAAAGTCTTGCGGTTTTTGCAAATGGAACTAGATAATTTATAAAAGAAAATTATTAGTGAAATTCATTATTTAAGATGAGCAAAAAAAATTTTAGTAAATAATAGAGTATTATAAAATTTACCTCCTTTTATAAGAGCTTTCCATGGTGAAACGCAAATTTTAGTAAATGAAGGAATAATCCCCATAAGTGATGTTTGATGAAGCGTCGAAGATATTCTTGAAGCTTGTACTGATACCAGGTTACCACCGATGCCATTAATAATTGGTTGAAATACTGAAAATCCTGGTATGTCAGCAGCTTTGCTAAGAACTAATCCACCCAATCTGTAATTATAATTTGTAAGTCAAAAATTAGTCACATTTTTATTTATAAAAAAATTTTTTATTGAAATTATTTTTTATGCCGGTAAAAAAAAAATTAATTTGATTCAAGAGAGAAATTTTTGAAACAAGAAAATTATTTTTTTAAAAATTTGATTATTTTTTAATCAAATAAAACAATTCTTACGGAAGTATGAGCGCTAGGCGGGGTGGGGATAGGTATCGACTCTAGCGCGGTAAGGGGAGAGCAGTAACCACATGATTTTCCTCAATATATAGATATACATTTAACATTTGCTAATGGCGGCATTTATTTATCTTTTAATTAATACACTTTAATTAGTCGGGCAAGTGTAAATTTTTTTGAATTAAATTTATCACTAATATATTTACTTTCATCCATAAGTTTTTTAAAAATATTCACCGACAGTTTTACGAGAAAGATACAGAAATGTATCAATGTTTGGAGATTACCCCATAAGACCAATGTCAAATTGCTCAACTTCAAAATTAATTATTTATTTAAATCTCTTTCAAATTTTCGGAATTAGTTTAGACATATTTAAACTTCATATTAAAAAAAAAAAATCAAGCCTTTTATCAAAAGTTGTCTTGGTGCTCGTACTTCCTTAAATCTAGAATTTTTTTACTTGATTAAAGTTTATATATCAAACTCTTTAAAATGATGTTCTTGGTTCAAGAATTTTCTTCTTGAATCAAGTTAATTTTTTTTATCAGTGCAAGCTTACCCACTGATGAAAAGAGCAGACAAAACAGGTGTCCATCCAGACGTCAAAACTTTTTTAGTGTATTTATTTTTTAACACTATCCAAATCCAAACGGGAAGTATGAGCAAATACCCAGCAATTATGAGATATAATACCCAAATTTGAGTTTCCAGTCGTTCGAACAAACTGGATGCAATATGTGATAAAACTGTAATTGACACAACATCGCCGAATGAAGCTGCCAGGGGTGTTGCCAGGTTGTCGGGATTCATTCTCCATCGATGAGTTGTCATGATGACGATGATCATCACAAGATCTAATAATAATGATAAACGAAATGAAATAAGTTAATAAAAAATACAATCCATACCATGTAATTACATCTTACAGACTTATCGCTAGTGATTGTGATTGTTATTGTGATGACTAGTTTCAACAAAGGTAAGGATTAATAGCTTGTTTGATAAAGTGCTATTTATGAATTACCGAGAAGGAAACATGAGCTGGTTGCTGTGCAGACACTCGACGCTGTTACCAGTAACGCATGGTCCCATGAAAATTCACCGCCGGTCATAACAGCGTGGGCCGAAGTTGCGAATATCGCAACTATTATTGAAGCGACGATAGATTGAATTTGTACCAACGCCAGATTACCTATTATCATTTTAGCGATCTCACGGCAATCGTGCATATTACCTAGATTCGCTTGTGTACACAATCGCGAAGCCAAGCACATATCTAAGTTGCCTTTTAATCCCAATAATGAAGGCACTAAGATAAGCAATTGGGTTATTTGTTTGAATACGTCCCATGTCTGAAATATTAATTATTTTTATTTAGTGTCTATGATTACATTATCATTACTCTAATCATTATAGTATAATTATTTTTATTTTTATTGTAAGATTGAGAATTTTTAATGTAATCAATCATGCGTACACATCGTGAAATAATGAATCCTTTGATAGATAATTTTTTTTTATCATACTGAAATCAGCAAGCATCTGACTTTTTTAGATTTTATTTTAAAAATTAATCTACTATTAAAAAATAATTATTTATAATAATATATTTATTAAAAAAATCTGAAAAATTTTTAGATGCTGATTAATTTTAGAATTTTTTTTATGAGCTTAAAATTAGATAGGGTAAATGCACCAGTTGTTGACCGGTCACCAATTAGTTGACCGATGTATAAAAAAGTTAATTAATTAATATTTTACAAGGTAAGGGGTTTTTTTTTCTTAAAGTATTAAAATAAAAAAATATGGCATTTAATCATCATAATTAAAAAATTACGTAATTAATTGCGCAGTGATTATAGCTTTAAAAAAATATTCTGAGTTTGTTTACAACGCAACCATCAGCCATTAAATTAAGCGGTCAAAAATAACTAGCGTACAATTGGAGAGTGAGTGCATTTCATCATTAATTTAGTGATATTTATCGGCATAATATAAAATATTTTAGTTTTATTATGTTATTAATTAAAGATCGAAATTCCAACTTTTTTGAAAAAATAAAGTTAAATTATAAGTTTTAATATTATTTTAAGACTGGTCAACTATTGGATCCGTCAGAAGCCCTTTACCCCAGTAAAAAATTCATTCGGTCATTTATTAGACCCTCTGATTTTATCACAATCCAATTAATGAACGTATATTTATAATACAAACTTCTTTAACCTTAGAATTAAATCTGGCAAGTGTTTAAAGTACTTTAGTCATTCAATATTTTGTAAATATAAAAATAATCATTATAAAATGTATATTTATAATTAAAATAATACTTAAAATCTTTTTTGATTATTAAATTTTATTTTGTTCTAATTTTTTTAGTGAACGGTTATATCAAAGAACGAATTATTAGAAGAAAAAATTGCTACGCAATTAAAAAAATAAAAAAGAGTTACAAGCTAGTAAAAAAGCTTTAATTGAAAAAAAGAAGGAGAAGAATAAAAAAATTTTAAATGAATCAGAAGAATTATCGTCATCAAAATGAATTTGTGAATATTTGTGACCTAAAGAAATGTGACTTTATATTAATTATTGCTATTATTTATATTATTTTATAAAAAAAAGTACGATTTAAAATTATATTATATGTTTAGTTTTGTTAAAGATGTCGTTAATACTTAAAA